AGCTCCAGCTGCTGCGGCCATTTGGGGAGTGAACCAGCGGACGGAAGACCTTTCTCTCTGCCTCTCCCTCTCACTGTCTATAACTCTTCTCAAATAAATAAATAAATAATCTTTAAAAAAACTATTTAGGGAAGTTAGTTTCACTTGTAGTGCATGGCCCTTCCAGGATCTTGTGTGAGAGTCCCACATATTCGACATGAACTGCACTGTGGCTGGAGGGAAATTGAGAATAATTCTTGGCCTTGTATAAACTGTTGTTCACCATTGTTCATCTGACAGCTCCCTGATAACAGCTATTTCCTTGCAAGACGTTCTTGCCCAGGCACTAGTTTCAGTCTACACGTGTACAGATTGCTTTCTAGCCAAAGACTAACGAAACCCCTCATCAGATTTGTAAAAATTGTCCTCTCTGGAACTCTGCTCTGACAATTTTGGCCCTCGTGGCCTCCCTGACTTAACTCATCCTCAGATCAGCAAGACAGTCAGGCTCTGTCTGGGCTTCTCCCTCTCTCTGCTGTAGTCCAGAAGTTGCCTCCAAAATACTCAAGGAGAATCCTATGCATATTTCTGGAGCTATTTCTCTGCACAATTCCGTCCTGCAAATTCCAGCCACCCTTTCCTCCCTAATCTCCGTCTCCTCAGCTCAGGGACACTTTTCTCGCTCTGCTTAGGATCCTCCATCCTGCAACACAATCTAGAAAATCCCTCAAGTCATAAAGTCTGGACAATCATAAAACTTAACTTCACTCATTTCTCATCTTTTGGGAATGACATCCTATGTTGCCTGTAGTCAAAAGTCTTCAAACAATTGTTTCACATACTGTGTGCACTCCTGTGGTTTTTATAACAAGAGGGTACATCTAGGCACAAGACCAGAACATAAATCCCATTTTCTTTTAAGAATTCTCCACTATAAAGTTGTATGGTGACAGATATAAACTGCCATTAGAATGAAAGCCCCATGAGTTTAGCAACTGTATCTGGAATATACACTGCTGAATCCCAAGTTCCAAGCACCAGGATTCAATGTACTACAAACCACAAAGGAAAAACCTAGCATAGCAACCCTGGGAATAGATGTTGGCATGACTCAGGGAAGTAGAGCAGAAAGAGGGGGTGAGGAGGGGAAAGGGAGCTCACAGCACATAGACAACAGCCAGAGCCCTTGTGGTTTCCAGATTTGCATTTGGATCTCACTTCCAGTATGAACTGTCATGTGATACATGCTTTCCATTTGGGCCTGGCTATTTTCATAATAAAGACCTGGAAGTAAATGTTTGTAATATGCTGGTATTATGTAAAAGTGGTCAACTATGTTTTCCACATTTTCTGTAGTTGTAAAAAATAATTTTTAGAGGTCCTCACGCATATTATGGTCTATGATTTTGCTATGTGACAATGTACTAGTTGGTGCAGACTGGAGGCTGTTGTGTGAAGGCACTGGCCAATGAATGAAACCATTTCCACCTCACACAGTGTAACCTGTGCCCCTCTAAGGCACAGGGCATCAGATGACACTGATTCCTGCCCTCACTCTCCTCTCAACAAGTTTAGGTGCTGCACCTGTTGTCACAGAGGTGCCTGGATTGATCCAGTAGGCTATATAGATGTTGGCTGATGGGCAACTATAGTGTTAGACAAATTGCAACCAAACTGAGCCAAGTCACAAAAGATGTAACCAATAGTAGCCAAAGACCAACTCTGATCTAACGCACCAGTTACATCAGTGAAAGCCAGTAACAGAGCTAGGTTATGTGGGATACCACATTTCTTTACAAGTAGGTACCTACTGGCATGTTCAAGATCTCTGTTGTATTTCCTGCCATGTTTATTTCTATCCCTACTCCTCACATAGGCCACCATTCTATTAAGTATGCCTTATTTTCTAAGCACATTAAAAATTATTTATTTGAAAGGTAGAGTGAAAGAGACAGAGAGGGAGGGACAGAGAGAAAGAGATCTTTCATCCATTGGTTTGCTCCTCAAATGGCTGCATTGTCTAGGACTGGACCAGAAGCCAGGAACTCATCTGGGTCTCTCACTTGGGTGCAGGTCCCCAAGCACTCGGGCCATCTTCTGCCGCTTTCCCAGGTGTATTAGCAAGGCAGCTGGGACTGGGACTTGAATTGGCACTTGAATATGGGATGCCAGTGTCAGAGGCTTTGGCTTAACCCACTATGCCACAATGACAGCCCCAATTTGTTGCTTTTAATTGCTGTATTATGCTCTATGGTTTTCAGTCCATCCCATTTATCTAGCCCTCCTCCCACTAATAGGCATCCAATTTGCCTCCAATTCTCACAAATAATACTGCAACAAACAGCTCTGTACAACCTGTGTGACAATTTGGCAAACAGTATCATATTACTCTGGACACACTGGCTGCACAGGTGCTCTATCCCAGGCATGTTGGGCTGGATAATTCTTGGTTGTGGAGACCCATTCTGTGCAGTGTAAGATGTTTACAGGGGCCGGTGTTGTGGCATAGCAGGTTAAACTCTCGCTTGCAACACCACCATCCCATATGCTGGTTTGAGTCCCAGCTGCTCTACTTCTGATCCAGCTCCCTGCTAATGTACCTACGTGGAAGACCCAAAAGAAGTTCCTGGCTCCTGGCTTCGGCCTGGCCCAACCCTGGCTGTTGCAGCTACTTGGGGAGTGAACCAGCAGAAGGAACATCTCTCTCTCCCCTCGTCTCTCCCTCTCTAACTCTGCCTTCCAAATAAATAAAACAAATCTTTAAAAATGAATAAAGAAAATGTGCCTGGACACTGACAAATATCCCTCCTGGGGAACGAGCAAAATACCCCCAGTCAAGAACCACTGTTTTATTCCATTTCTGCCAACATTTAGCATCATCTAGCTCTAGTATTTTTCTCTGATTACCAGTCATTTTCAGCATCAGGTAATATACTTGGAAGTTCTGGATTCTTTCTGTTAATTTCTTATTGAGGTTGCCGGAATTTTTTGGGTCATTTACAAGAATGCTCTCCAAGTTCTCCATGTTTGCCCTCGACCAGAAGTGCTGCAGCAAATACTTTCTCCCACCCTCCACTCATGGACTGTTCCGAGAGTGCTTCTCAGACTCAAATCTGCTTTTCTGTAATGAGATTCAGTGTTTGCCTCATGGCTTACATTTTTGAATTTTATAAACGTGCTTCCTTTGCCCTAGGACACAACAATGTATATAATAATAATACATAGTATTTCCCTCTATTAACCTTACATATCTACCCTTTCTAACCTTTAATTCATTTGGAGTCCACATTCTACAAAGTCCCTGTTTCCTTTCCTCCATGTAATGAGACTCCATCCACTAAAGAATCCTGCCTTCTCTAAGCTGGTTTATGTGAGATTTTTCCCCAAGTTCTCCACCCTCTTTCATTGATCTAAGTGTTTGTCTTTGCACCAATTACCTACCAACTGCCACCTTATGGCCCCTAAACATGTTTTCCTAACTGACAGCAAACTCCCTTCCTTCTTTGGTGAACTATTTCTGTTTATTGATTACATTCATCAGAATTCTCAAAATACCCCACTGGGATTTATTTTTATTAGGTTGCACTAACAAATGATGTGGGGAGAACCAACATTTTTATATTAAGTGATCCCATCTGTGGTTATTCATTTTTTAGTTCTTTTATTTCTTAGTTTTCAGCCAGTCTTTGGGGATTGGGTGTTTGGTGCAGCAAGTAAGATGCTGCCCGGGACACCTGCATCCCATGTTCAAATCCCAGCTCCTCTGCTTCGGATCCAGCTTCCTGCTTCCATGCAGGAAGAGAGGTAGCAGGTAGTGCTCACAAACTTGGGACCTTGTCACCCACATGGGAGACCCAGACTAACTTTCATGCTCCTGGCCTTGGCCTGGCACAGCCCTGGCCATTGCGGGCATTTAGGAAGCGAGCCAGCAGATGGACGATGTTTCTCTGCTTTCAAATAAAGTGAAAATAAAGATTTTTTTTAAAAAGAAGTCTTCATATGCTTACGTTGGTTCCTGAACACTTCATCATTTGTACTGCTGCTGTGAGTGGCACTTTTTGTTGCTAGTTCTTCTTGCTGCTGTCGTGGGCTCGGTTTGAGCCCTGCTTGCCCACATTCCTGTGTGAGGCCCTAACCCCAAGACCTCAGAACGTGACTGTATTGGAGTTGGCACCTTTGCCAGGTGGTTAAGTTAAAATGAGGCTGCAGTATGGGCCCTGACCCGATGTGACTGACGTCTTCCTAGGGAGGTCAGGACGGAGTCCCGCGCACACAGCACAGCCGCCCAGTCTGCGGGACTTTCACAGCAGCTCCAGCAGGCAAACACACTGCTCTTCATGCTCTTCTCAGTCCATCTTTCATCCAGGATGCCTGAGTTTCAGTGGGATTCAGAATCACTGATTTCCTCTCAGGGGATGCCCTCTTAGTATCAAGGGACATGAGCCTGAGGTCAGACCAGAGAAATTGCTGGAAGAAATTACTGAATCGCCCCACCCCACAACACAGAGCATCACAGTCCCACAGGTTCAGCATTTTCCCTCCCTGGCCGCAAAGAGCTGCATACCCAGGTGCACTTGGTCTCCCTGTTGACGGCTCCCTTGTGCATAGAAACATTTTCTATCTGAGGTGCTAATACCACCTGTACATTAATGAATGCGACAGGACTGACAGCAAAATAAATAGCTAAATAAAATCAGCTCCCACCAGACTCAGGACAGCATTTGCTTATGGAATCAGAGTCATTCAACCTGGCAGGTTGTCGTTGGCAAGTCTCGTCGCAGCTCCCACGTCACCGGAGGGCTGGACACGCGTCCTCCAGGATGCAGCCTGCACCCGCGCGCGGGGTGGCACACCTTGGCCATCACTGCCTACCAAGCTTCGAAGAGGACTGTGTCAAGACTGCACATGGGCTTCCGGAAGTGGCTTCAGTCTGGCTTGAACCAGCACTCAGCTTTTCTTTTGTGTCCAATTTCAGTCAACTTTATGGCTCCCTGACAGAGGTCCCAGACACACACAAGCAGCATGTTTAAAATGGCTTTATTAAAGGTTATTAGTATAAAATATGACCAAGTTACAAGTTGTAAGAATTTATCATTTTTGAAAACGTGTATCAAAGAAAGGGAGGCCACTGGACATCCACATGAGGGGTCGGGCCTGGCTGGGTGACAGTTCCTGTTGTTCCCAACACAGGCAGTGCTCCAAAAATGAGGGGGGGCACCGAGGAGCAACCCCCAGTGCAGCGGAGGCTGGCTTCTGATTTCCTGGGGAAGCTTTTATAAAACGCAGAGAGCGGACACTGTCCCAGGTGCAGAGAGTCTGGGAGGACGAGGAATCCAAACTGCATAGTGGCTTCTGCTGAAAAGTATGTATTTTTTCAAAAATAAATACAAACTCCTGGTTTTCGAGATTCCAATCTGATTGGGGGAGGGGGGAGCAAGACAAATGCAGGGCTTAAATTTTCCCTCAGGCTGACCCAGCCTGTCCCAGGAAGGGGAATGCACCCAGCTCTGCAGGGGTGCTAGCTGGGGGTACAGGAGGATCTGCAGGCTGGACACCACCAGCAGGGGGGTCCTCCAGGGTCTCCAGAGCAAAGCAACAGGACGGCTGGACTCCCTCCACGACCTCCCAATTTCTTCCTTTACGTTTATTCAATCTCAGCAGTAACTAAACACTACGGGGGCGGGGGGCTGTGTCCCAGAAGTAAGGCCACAGCTTTCAATAACCCCCACACCCTTCAACTCGAGGAGAACCTGAAGGGAATACTGGGCTTTACGAGACAGTGGTCAAGAAGTAACGACGCCTCCCAAGAGGACAGATCACCCTGCCCGATGTCTCCAGACCCTTCTTCCCTGCTGCCCCAACGCAGTTAAAACACTTGCTCCAGGGGATATGAAACAGCCCACAGCAGAGTGGAGGCGGGGCAGCGCTCTGGGTGCTTAGCCCTGGGGGAGCTGGCGCTCTGCACTGGCAGTTCCAGCTGGGGTTTCTAAGCTCCCCACCCCCTCAACCCCCTCCCCACCCCGCCCCGGCGCCCTGCTGGAAAGCTTTTCCCCTCCCAAGCATCAACAGTGCAGAGAGGAGGAAGGTAAATTCCAAGACTCCAGGGGCCAGGGGAAGTTTGAGGACATAAAGCAATTGGTAGAAACCAAATCACATGTTGGCTGAGCCACAGTTTGGCTGAAATTTTCTGGGGTTGGGGGCAGTTGCCACGTGCATTACCTTGCAGCCAGATAAAATATTCCAAAAACTATTTCAAAAGGGTATGTAAAAAAAAAAAAAAAAAAGACACACTTCGATATTGAAACCAAGCGCTCACTGGCAGGGCTCACAGGGATTAAGGATTAAGGCTTCAGGTGAGGAGAACACAGTGATGGCAACCAATGGACCACACAGGCCAAGACTCGCAGTTCTGCACGGGCACCTCCTACAAATCAGGGACCACTGCGCTCCAGGGCACCTGGTGAGGGCAGTGGCTTCCCTCGCTGACAGCCACACTCCCCCAGCAGGCATGGGCAAGGGCCACCTTGTCTGCAGCAGCTCCAGGGACCCTCGCTATGACAAAGGTCCTAGGGGCTGCTTCTGGCATGCCCAGAAACTCCATTCCTCCACTTCTGGTGGTGGTCAAGGTTGGGGAGGGTCCACCTCCGTGTAGTCTGACCAGTCCTGGGGACGAAGGACATCCACTGCCCCCTCACCCCCGCCTTCAGTCCTTCAGTCTAACACCGGGAACTTCTAACACAGCTGATGGGATCAGTCCTGCCTCCAACAACACCTACCATCTGCCCTGACCCCTGCAGGTGTCCAGTACAGGGTTCATCCAGTGGGTCACATTAGTAACGACAGCTTCTGAGTGAGTATAAAACGAAGAAAGGAGCCACTAAACCAAGATATGAAAAAATGAAAGTTAACAGCAAGACTTCGAAACACGCAATTCTTCTCTAAACAGCGATGAAGACTTCGAGTAAGTACCAGGACAGCTTAAAGATGGCAGCCAGTGGCAAGTCTGTCTTCCGAAACTGACGTGAGGGGGGGCGTGGCACAAGGTGTAAGGGGCGTGGCTTCAGCAACATTGAGGGGGGCCCCCAGACAGCTTCCAGGGCTGGCTGGACACTCGGGAGCCAGCATGCCCGCATCAGTACACCTGAGGCCGTCGCCACGGACCACCCATCACAAGGAACCCCGTACATGATGGGCTGGGGCGTGGAGAGAGCAAGAGATGGAAATCGCTCTCCTGATTCCTGTCGCCCGGTTGAAGAAACTCTTCCTTTGAGGAGGGGGAACACTGGACGGAGCCGGGCACAGAAGTTTTATTTACAAGATTAACTGCGTTCTTGACTGTCTTTAAAAATTCCAAATGTAAAACTTCTGTTATCAAATCATGGAAAATAGCATATATATCCGGTTTTACCAAAAAAAGGGAAAAATCTGGCACAGTTTACCAGTTTCCAATGATTCAGAAAAGAGCGTAGATAAACCAGAAAAAAGTACACAGAGGAACATTGCCCTTTTTTTCTCCTCTACCACCACACTGCTTTGGAACACGTTTTGGGGTGCTTGGCTGTACTTGTTTTCGATCGACCACATTTTACCAATTGTCCAGAAAATCAAATCCTGTCTTCAAGATGACGCTGCTTGAGCTGACCTGCAGAAGGGAAGACACACTGAGGTAAGGCATGGGTGTATTTTTTTCTCTGTGATGCATAATCTAAAAACAGCATCTCATTTAAAATGACCCAAATGAAAAGAGTCTGCTTCCATCTCAGACGCTCCCTGACCTCAATTTGCCTCTGCGCTTGGAACCAGAAATTAAACAAAACCCAACAGAAGCGACACTCCACCAGCCAGCCAGCCGCTGCCGCAAACCCTCTCCCACCCAGGCGTGTGTGGGAGCAGCCTACAGACCTACTTACGGAGAAAAGGAGAACAACACGTTCCTGTTTTCCTGTACCTCTTCCAGCTATGGAAGGACAGATGTGCTTACATGTCCTCATCGTAAAATAAAGGAGCAAATCATAGAGATGTTCTAACGCAGCGTGAACGTGGACAACAGAGAAACAACAAACAAAGCCTTCGCCAAGTGGAAGGAGCGAGGATGCCACGTGGAAGCGGTGGCCTGAGCCTCCCAAACCCTGCAGCACTCTTCACTTCAAGGGAAGCAGGGTGGATCCAAGGGCCCCTGGGTGAGGAGGCTGTCTCAAGATGTAGCTGGATCGCCACCACCAGGCAGGGTGTCTGCCCACCTAACCCAAGTCACCGGATCAGCTGCTGGCATGCTAATTAAGGACCGTGACCCGCCGCGCTCCACGTGGCTGGAAACAGAGGCGCCTGGCGGAGGCGTACACACAGCAGACCCGTGACTTACCCTGGAAGCTGAACAGGCCCAGCTTGGCGGCAAAGGGAGGCTGATGCTGAGTGAGGCAAAACCCAGAAAACAGGAGTCCCGCCAAGTTTTCCTTCCAGTTTCTTATGGGGGCTGGCGTTTCACCCTGCCCTCTGCTCTTTCAAGCTAGTGTCGGAGCTCCCTCCTGCTCCCCACTCCCCCTGCACAAGGCTTGGAGACCGTCTCTTTACAATCAAGACGCACAATCCCCGCTCTGTGTAACTTCTTCCTTCTGATGAAGCCCTCGCTGCAGAGTCCCAGGGAAAGGGCACAGCAGGGATGGGGAGAGGGGTGCCTGCCTGTAGGAAGGAGTAGACAGGCAGGGAGACGGAGACAGAACACAGGAGGATGAGAGGGTAGACAGGCAGGGAGACAGAACACAGGAAGACGAGAGGGTAGACAGGCAGGAAGATGGAGCGGAACACAGGAAGACGAGACAGTACACAGGCAGGGAGACGGAGACAGAACACAGGAGGATGAGATGGTAGACAGGCAGGAAGACGCAGACAACACAGGAAGATGAGATGAGTAGGGTACTAGAAACAGGCAGGGAGTGGGCTGAGCACGCTGGCTTGAGAAGTGGGTCAACACAGAGGAAGGGGACAGATGCACCCCTGATGTGGAGCAGGTGCAAGGCGGAAGGTGCTAGAATCTCCAGGCTCCCCTTCTACAGGAGGACAACAGAGGCAGTCATCTGTGGAGAGGCATGAGAGCACCAGAAATGCCCTCCAGGAAACACCCAGAGTCATAGAGGACCACAAGTCAATAAGAAAACAGTAAACAACCCAACCTAAAATGGGAAGGGGCTGGCATTTGGCACACAGGCTAAGATGCTGCTTTACTGGGGGAGGGGGGCTGGCGCTGTGGCATTGCAGGTAAAGCCATCGCCTGCAACACTGGCATAACATATGGGTGCCCAATCGATTTCCAACTCCCTGCTAATGGCCTGGGAAAAGCAGGGGAAGATGGCTTAAGTGTTTGTGCCCCCGCACCCATGTGGGATATCCAGAGGAAGCTTCTGCCTCCTAGCTTTGGCCTGGTCCAAAGTTGGCCGTTGTGGCCCTCGAGGGAGTGAACCAATGAACGGAAGATCTCTCTCTCTGTGTAACTGTCTTTCAAACAAATAAGTTAAATTTTTTTTTTTTTAAAGATGCTGTTTGGATGCCTGCATCCCATAGCGGGGGTGCCTAGAAAGCAGCAGGTGATTCCTTCAGGCACTTGGGTCCCTGCCACCCACACGGAGACACAGCTGAGTTCCTAGCTCCTGGCTTTGGCTTCATCCTCAGCCATTGCAGGCATTTGGGAAGTGAACCAGAGGCAGGGCGATCACTCTTTGTCTCTCTGCCTTTCAAATAAAGCTAAAATAAAACTTAGTCAAGGGAATTAAATAGATACTTCTCCCAAGAGAATATACAGATGGCCAATACAGATAGTACAAAGATGCTCAACATCACTACTGATCAGAGAAATACAAATGAAAACCACAGTAAGCTGCCGCCCCACAGCTGTCAGCATGGCTACTATCAAAGAAACAGCGACAAGCTCTGCCGAGGGCTGTGGAGAACCTGGAGCCCTGTACATCGCTGGTGAGACTGTAATATGCTGCAGCCACTGAGCTGCCCACCCTGCCCACTGCAAACAGGGTTCAAGGTCCTCAAACACGTCACAGCATAACTGCCATACGACCCAGAGAGTCCAGGTCTGGGCCTGTATCTCCACAACTGAAAGCAAGCTCTCCGAGAAGTACTTGTGAAGTGCTTTTTTTTTTTTTTTGACAGGCAGAGTGGACAGTGAGAGAGAGAGACAGAGAGAAAGATCTTCCTTTGCCGTTGGTTCACCCTCCAATGGCCGCTGCAGCCGGCACATCGCACTGATCCGAAGCCAGGAGCCAGGTGCTTCTCCTGGTCTCCCATGGGGTGCAGGGGCCCAAGCACTTGGGCCATCCTCCACTGCACTCCCTGGCCACAGCAGAGAGCTGGACTGGAAGAGGGGCAACCGGGACAGAATCCGGCGCCCCAACCAGGACTAGAACCCGGTGTGCCTGCACCGCAGGCGGAGGATTAGCCTAGTGAGCCGCGGCGCCGGCCTCAGAGAAGTACTTGTACACTCAGGTTCACAGCAACGCTATTCATAATAATCAAAAGGTAGAAGCAACCCAAGCGGGCACCCTCAGATGACTGGACACAGTGTGGGACAGCCACTCCACGGGACGATGATTCAGCCTTAAAAGGAAATTCTGACGCCCACTGCCACGCGGATGAGCCCTGAAGATGAGGTCAAGTGAAACACACCAGTCAACAAGGACAGATTCTCTATGACTGCAGCTACGCAGGGTGCCTGGAGTAGACAGGTGCACCGGGACAGAAAGTGGAAAGGGGTGCAGGGGCTCAGAGGTGGAGGAATGGGGAGTTTGTGTTTAACGGAGCTTCAGTGTGGCAGGACTGAAGAGTTCTGGAGGAAGATGGTGGTGCTGCTTGTAGGGTATTAAGAATCAACTTAATGTCATGAATTTAACTTAAAAATGATTAAAATGCTAAATTTCATGATATCTGCATTTTACCACAGTAAAAAAGAAAATTTAATATTAAAAGAAAAAAAAAAAAGAGTGAGGCTGGCCTTGAGGCATAGACAGTAAAGCGGCTGCCTGCAATGCCAGCATCCCATATGAGCATCGGTCCGAGTCCCGGCTGCTCCACTTCTGATCCAGTGCCCTGTTAATGTGCGTGGGAAAGTAGTGGAGGATGGCGCAGCCACCCACCTGTGCAGGCTTGGGTTCCGAGAACAAAGCGTCCTCCATGTCGTCCTGCCTGGCGGCCTCTGGAGCAGTGGCCTCGGGCAACACGCTGGTGGAACCCTGGCCCGGCTGGGGTCTCTCGTGCTCCGCAGGGGGAAGGAAGCGCTGCTCCTGGCGGACGGCGCTGGGCCTCTCTGCTTTGGCCTCCCTGTCCTTCTGGCTGGGTTCCTGCCGGTAACAGGCAGCCAAGACCTTCTCCCCCTTCTCCATGGACTTGATCTGGCTGGGGGTCAGCGACTGGAACTCTGCCTCAGGCCCCTCGCCCCGGGACCGCTCTGCATTGATCTTCCAGAAGGATGACTCCTCTTCCTTCCGGGCAGGACCCAGAGCGTCCAGGCTGGAGGACCTGCTGCCCTGGGGAGCCTTGAAGGCCTGGGAGCCCTGGGTGGCTTTGCACAGTGACCTTGGCTCGCTGGCGGCCGTGCTGTTGCTCGGCTCCTGGATGGACAAGGAGGAGATGCTGAACTCCATTTGGCTCTATGGTGAGACAGGGGAAAGGAGAGAGAAGAGAAAGCAGCCTTTAGACTCCAGCCAGAACAGGTACGCCAGCTCAGGCAGCCCAGCCCTGGCATAAGGACCCACACACTCCACAGTACCACAGCGCTTTCGGTCTGCCCTGCGCAGTGACTGGCAAAACTGCCATCGCACACCTGAAATGCATCACAGCAGAAGCCTAGACACCAAGGCCCCTTAATGCACGAGGCTACCTTACTGATGGGCAAGCGGAGCACCTACCTATCTCCTCCAGCCTTCCTGGGGGCAGCTGCCTAACAGGTGACGGCCCCCACTGTGAGGAAGACAAGGAGGGGTGCACGGTGCAACAGAATGAGAGCAGGCAGGGAAGGGCCCCGCACCCAGCACAGCCCACACCCATGCCCACAAAATGCTTTCTGCAAGCCACATGTGACCTACAAATGAGCCTGCTGAGTTGTTCTGATCAACAAATCATTATGTGGAAACCAAAGCTCCTCTTTAGACAAGAACACAGAGGACAGCCTAGTCTTCCACACTCTGCAGAATAAGCAACGCGTGATCTCAGTCATTTCTATTATCAATCCTGAAAATGTCTTTCTTCCTACCCCACCATTTCTACTTCCTCAATCCCCAAGCCCCCTCCTTTTAAAAAATAAATAAAGGTGGGGCCGGCACTGTGGCCCAGCAGGTTAACGCCCTGGCCTGAAGCACCAGCATCCCATATGGGCGCTGGTTCGAGTCCCAGCTGCTCCACTTCTGATCCAGCTCTCTGCTATGGCCTGGGAAAGCAGTGGAAGATGGCCCAAGTGCTTGGGACCCTGCACCCACATGGGAGACCCAGAGGAGGCTCCTGGCTCCTGGCTTCAGATCGGCGCAGCTCCGGCCGTTGCAGCCATCTGGGGAGCGAACCATCAGATGGAAGACCTTTCTCTCTGTCTCCACGTCTCTCTGTAACTCTCTCAAATAAATAAAATAATAAAATCTTTAAAAAAATCAACCAATAAAATTTTTAAAAATTACATTACAATATCACTACTATTTGGGGGGTTTTGTGCAACCTTTTTCATAAATATGTTACAAGGCTATGGTCTTATTACAGGCACACAATTTGGGGGTTCTGCTACATTGTTGCACAGACTTCATAACCATTATTTTTATTATCTCAATCAGCAGCTGACCCAACACCCACCTATTACCAATTTGTTCTTTCTGATCTCCACTGTTATGATTAAGGTTGTCTTGAACAACTCTCCCTCTTAGGATTAATGTCTTCATAGATTCCCACAAATGAAACATCCAACCACAAAAGGTCTGAACCTTTTCTCTAATGGTGTTTTTACATGCACACCCAAAAACTGATTTTGTAGGGGCTGCCCCCATTTCGAATGCCACCTGTGCCATCTCTCAGGGGGGCATTCATAGTCACCAGGTAGAATCACTCAAAACTGGCAGCTGCCTGACTCCACTGAGCACGGTTCTTTATTACTTGGGCACATAATGGCCTGCTCGTGACACATCCCCGCAGTGAGCAGGGGCAAGGATGAACACATCGCTTTCCCAGGGAAAACCCTAGTCCTGAGCATAGCGTTGCTCGGCTGTGACTTCTCCTCCAAGCCTGGCTGCTGATGGCCAGAGACCTCCCCTCTGGGCTCAGGGGATGACGGGGCCATGGAGAACTCAAGTTCAAGTCACAAGCCCAGGCTGCCTCGAGGCTCAGTGTTACAGGAAGCAAAATCTAAGACACAGACATCAAAGCTCGGCCTCTGCCAGATGCCGTGATGAAGAACAAATGGAGATTACTGAAGTGTGTCTGGCCCGTCAGGCGTGTAGTTATTTTTATTCTTTTCATTCTACAAATGAGAACACGGAGATTTGGCAAGATTAAGTGTATTGCCCTGGGTCACTCCCCAGTCCATTAGAGGATTGCACAGCTGGGATCTCAACCCAGATCAAATGATTGGAAGCTATCACCAGGCATCACTGCACGTACAAAAAGCCCGCAGCTGCTGGCCAGAGCACCCACAGCAACAGCGGGAAGCCTTGTACGCAGCGCAATTAAAAGACAAGTTGATTTTGGTGCAAAAAAAAAAAGTTTTTAAATCTATACGTAGCTTTTTGTAATACGTGTTTTCTGTGAGCTTTCTGTCCGAGATCTAATCTGATATTTAAATGACTGTGTCGGAGTGAAGCATTCTGAACACTCTGCGTATTTCCAAACTCTACAACAGGATCCAGGAAGACCGCGGGCAGAGAAGACGGCTTCTTTAAGTAAGCCTTTAAGTAAGCGAATCACTAAAGACAGCTTGGAAGAGGGCCTAGGACTCAGGACAGAGATGCCTTTGATGTGGACGACGTAGCATGAGGAAGGCACTGAACACCATGCACTTTGTTAAACCCTGGGCTCATTTAGGACTGGCAGTTCCTTTGGTGGGGATCTCTGGAAGGCTGCACATTCTGCCTACGTGGAGGACATCAAGAGGTGGAGCCAGGGCTGCTGGGGAGGGAAGCCGTTCCCAGGGGTTCCTGGTGAAAAGGGCCCGAGCGAGTGTAACCTGGCTGGGCTTGACCCCCTCTGCCAGAACAAGCGGCCACTCCCACCGCTTCCTGGCTGGCCAGAGCCCGCCTGGGCGCAGTCACCTGCTTAAAAGAGAAGGTGGTGCCGGCAGGAGCGGCTACCTGGCTTGGGGGGCTTTGGGGTGAACATACTTGCTTTGAAGTCTTGGTTCCTATTTCCTTAATTTTACAAATAGTGGCATTGTATCACCACAACTTGCTGTGAGAAAACACCACTCCGTGAGCATCGAGCCACCCCAGAGGGAAGGGCTTTGTTACCCAGACTTTCTATAGACGCACTGTAGAAAGTGCCGGGGCAGCGTGAGGGAGAAGGGGAGACCGGGACCTTCTTTTCCTGTCTAAATCTAACTCTGCTCAGCTCCAAGAACTCCAGGAACCATGAAAAAAACGGAATCCAGCGGGGCCAAGCAGGAGTCTGGGGGGGGATGTGCCAGCACCACCCCAACCTGTCCCCTGCATCTCGTTCTACCCAGAGCTGTCTAGACTGGGGACCTTGCATGTAGCACCAGGACACTGCAAAAAGTGACTCTAAGCTCGTTTTCAAAGCAGCACCTGCCATAGCAGTCCCCGGGGCCAGCCTGGAGTAGGGTCCATCACTTCCGGCTTCTAGCTATCCACACTCTTGGCCACCTTGCCTCTCTCCCTCTTGGGGACTGATCCCAGGCTGCTCGTCATCCATTACCACTGTGTGCGCTGTCTGGCTGCTCCCTGAATCCCAGTCAAGATACTCAAAGGTCGCCTACTTGCCAATCCAAGACCACAGGCACCTTCTTGCCTCCACCTGCTCCTCCTCAGGAAAGAGCAAGTCCCCCAGCAGCTGCGCCACCCTGCCCTGAGCCATCCCTGCCAGTTCTCCCTTGGCAGTTCTGCCCCGCTCTGCCCCCAGGGCCACCTGGGCCCTGCAGTCTCCTCGCCGCTGCTCCAGCCTCACCTGCAGAGCCTCCTCCACCCACGCGCACACCTGGGAGGAGGGGACTCACTCCAGAGGCTGCACCTTCTGGCGCACCTCATAGCACCGCCCACCCAGGGGGTCCGCCCCTCTCCCCTGGATCTGGGTGGCCTCATGACATTCTTCAATCAACCCACGAGGCCAAGGGGATACTCTGCCTGTCCCCGTCCCAGATGTGGGAGGCCAGCCAGCTAAGGAAGCAACCCCTCCACCTGGAATGCTGGGCCTCAGCCAAGACTCCGTCTCCTACGAGGACTCAGGGGTCAGTGCCGGCCACCTCTCCCCAGGCTGCATTCCCGTGGTCTCTATGGGTCCCAACACAGGGCGGCCCAGAAGTGTTCCCTGCCAGACTGTGCATTCCGTGAGGCAGAGGGCCTCCCGCTGCTCACAGACCTGGTTCCTCTGTGCGTCTCTCCCACAACCGCTGCTGCCACTTGCCTTCTAAATCACTGTCGAAGGCGAGGGGGGCAGAGCCCCTGGCTGTTCCAGAACCACCAGGCTCTGTGGGAATCCACACAACAGGACGACAGCATAGCCCCCAACACTGCTGCTCAGACCCAAAGCCCTGACACCAGGCATCCATGCCATGTGCTGCCTGCAGGTCCCAGCAAGGGGCAATGGGCACCGTGCCCGACTCTCTGAGGACCCGAGGGAGACGGGGAGGAATCTGGTGGGAGATCCCCAGGAATGCTGCAGGTACCCCGTTATTCATGAGGACAGAGGTGGAGCTGACCTGACCCTTGACCTTGCACAGCTCAGGAAGAACAATGCAGCTTCCGTGTGCTGAGCACTCACTGTGTCCCAGGCCCTGTGCTGAAGCCTCAGGCACTTTGGCTCCCTTAATCTCCCCCACAGTCCAATGAAGTACGCAGGAGTATTCTTCCACGGAGCTAGAGAGGATAAAGGCCGGCACAGCAGCCAGGCTCACGCTGCTTTGGGGGATGCGCCGCACCACGTCCATCCACCTGGGGCTGCCAACCGGTAGGCGTGGGGCTGGGAGGGGGTCAGTGCAAGGTGGAAGGAGTGGTTTCAGGTGCAAATTTTCTCATTTCTCGGAAAAAGCCCACTGTGGAAAAAAGAGTTGGGCTCTTAGGAAAGGAGGTAGCGTCAGCCCCCTGCCACCGCACTGAGCCACATTGAGCAGGGCCCGGCAAGAGGCGCCGCAGGTGACAAAGGCTGGGAGCCCATGGACCTTTGGGTCCTGTGGGTCAACTCATTGGCACTGGCTCCAGGCAGAGGGTCAGGGGTTGGGGGGGTACATAAGGAAGGCCCTCCCCTCACAGCAATGCTGCAACCCCACTCTCAATGTCCCAAGTGCTCATCGGAGCCCAGGGAGGAGCTGCCCAGAGGACTTGGTCCAGCCCCGCCAGGCGCCAGTTACCCATGTGGGGAACTGGGTCTCAGCTGGCCACATCCGTTCTAAAAACAGCAAGACCACGACGGAGCCCAGGCTCTATTTTTACACCCCACTCACCGCAGA